AGGCAGGAGCCAGGGTAAAGCGTTAGGTCAGAGCCTTTATTGGGGCTTTCAAGGGGAAGGCAAGGCAGGACAAGGTGAACAGTTTTGGATTGGCTAGTTTGAATTTTATGGCGGGTGCTCTAAGCTATAGGGGTGGTCCCTAGTTGCCTGATACCTGGCCCTGGTATGATTAAGACGAGGAATATTGTCTCCCTGGGTGTATAGGCCAGATAGTGAAGGATTGGTTAGTTTGTACATCAAAAGCACGCTCCCAGCTGAGCCCTTGCTATTTCTAGGAATTGGCTAGGCCCTGGGAGAGGCAGTCTCTCCGCAGCTAGAAGGTATTTTAAGATGCCAAAACATTATAACATTCCTGACTGACCACATACCAGTCAGATGCCATTTATCCTTATTTCAAGCACCATCCTAATAACTCGGGTTATTTGTCTATCGGACTGCCAGCAATTTATGGAGTAGCTGCTGGAGATGGACAGCCTAACAGCAATGAGAAGTGGCACTGGAGATAAGGGCAGAGATAGCAAAACCAGGGAAAGCAGACCAAGAACCCGCAAAGCACAATAGCCTGGGTCCATTTCAGAGGCAAAGTGTTAGAGGGCCCCTCTGCAGTTTCCACGTAATTCCATGCTCTTACCAATGGCTCCGAATGCACATCTCTAGAAGCCCAACAGATGAGTTAATGGTTAGGATTATTCCAACAGGCTAACCTTTGTTCATCCATCCAGACAGGCTCACTCTCTTCAATATTTCTGAGCGATGGTGGTGGTGTTACGTCATTGCCGTCATCGCCTTTTCTTTTTGTCCATTGAGGAGACAGCCCCAAAGGAGGAGCCCTGACCTGGGTGTCTGGTGGCCTGAGCTCGGCCTCCACTATCATCCCATTCACCCACCCTTTTTTCTTCAAACTCCTGCTGTGGGCCTCAGCTTCCTCCCCTGTGAAGTGGAGGTCGGTCCACATAAGCTCAGTCTGACAGTCCCGATGTTCAAGGAGAGGTTGTTCTGGGCTGGGCAATCATGATCAGGGACATTTTCATGGATTTGCCATGCCCAGGTGCTTTCTAAGTGCTTTACGTGGTTAACTTTGTTGAGTCTTCCAACCCTCTGAGGCTTAGGCAGTTGCTTAGGGTCCCCTGCAATTTGAAAGGCCCTGTGCCTGTTTTAATTCTCTACTGTCGAGGTCTTAAAATTCACACTAATTTTGAACCAGGGGCCTGGCATTTTCATTTTGCACCAGGATAGAAAATTATGTGATCAATCCTGGGTTCAAGGTCTCCCTTTTAGAGGAATTGTGTAACTTGCCCAAGGTCAACTAACTCCCTGACACTCAAGATGTGGTCCCTGACCAACTGCATCCTCATCTCAGAGCTTGTTAGAAATGCAGATTCCCAGGCCTGACAGAGTCAGATCTGTACTTTACCAAGATCAGATCCAGAGTCTGCTCTCTCAGTTATTGTTTGCTATTTTCCTCCATTTCTGCATTTATTGGAAACACATTCTCAACTGCACAGGAAAAGACCTCAGTTTCAGATCTTCAATTAGAGATGATTCGCCTTCACCCTACTGTGGAAGGTGAGTTTCTAAGGGCCCCAAATTGCAGGACAGTGTGGGTGGGTGCCCCACAGGCAGTCAGAAGTGCCAGCTAATTAAGACATCCTACCCTCCTGAAATGTTGCACCCTAGGTTCCTCGCTTGAGAGTCTCGGCGCTGGCGAGGGTGGTATGCCTCAATTAGCTGGCTCTTCTGACCGCCTATGGCGTGTCTGTCCACACTGTCCTGAGATTTAGGGCCTTTAGAAGCACCAGGCTTCCAGTCTTGGGAATTTCTGATTAGGGCAGTTTCTCTACAGGGAACTCCAGGAAGGAGCGTAATTGCTCAAAATCAGAATTCAATCCTCCCACCATCTCTTCCCATCGTTAACCTCAGGAAGTCTGCAGTCACCTGCTACCCATCACACGTCCCTTTGTTCACAGCTCTGCCTTGGATATTGTTAGGGCTGGCGTCACCCCTCTTTTAATCTCCCTAGTAAACTGCTCCACTTAGCGGTAGGCAGCATCTCCCAGAGGCAGAGCTGGGTGTATGGAGACAGGGGGTATGCCAGCTTCAGAGGACAGGTGGGAGGCCAGGATGGAGCCTGGCCAGTCACATCAACTGGGAGTGGCAGAGACTTTCTGGGCAGTGCCTGCCTGGCCCCTGGCTTCAGCTGGGAGCTGACTTTCAGTGGGCATGCCATGGTTGTTGGCACTGAGAGGGCCCTTCCCGAAGGATGGCTGAGTGGTTCCAGGATTTTCCAGGGCCCTGGTTCCCAGAGCCAATTCACCTTCAGAACCACCTGGAAGTGAGAGATTCCTTAAAATGAAGATTTCCCAACCCAAGAATCAGAGTCTTCTGGGTATGGACATGATTCCTGCTACCTTTCCATGAAGTAGAAAAAAGTACCCGCTCTGTGGAGATGCGGACCCACTGCCATGTGGCTCAGCGAATGGATGCAGCCTTTATGAGATGAGAACCTCCCTGCTTTCTTTGGGGAAGGCAGCCCTGCGTGGAGACATGACTGGTAGCCGAATGCAACTGCACCTCCGGCCCCCATTTGCCTTCTTAGCCAGGTCCTTTTTGTGCAGTAAACACCCTGCATTGTTGTAAATGGTGGCCCTTAGGTAGGGCTGGGAAAAACCGTGCAGGTGATTTTGGTAATCAGCCAGGTGGGAGCCCCTGAGGCCTGGAGAGCAACTGTAACTCGAGGGGCTACCAGGGGCGAGCATAACACCACGGCTACTCCCTTCCTGTGCTGGGGGGTCCTCAGACATCCCTAGGCCAAGGTTCTGCCCCTCTCTTGTTTACCCACTCAAAATAAGCAAAACAAAAGCCTAGCCTCTAGGAATAACATTTAGGGAAGGCAGTGACAGAAGAAAGGAGAGGAAAGGAGAATGGAAGGAGGGGAGGGGAGGGGCTCTTATCTATATCCAGCAGGTCCAGCCCTGCCTGTGCACACAGCTGAGTCACACCTCACGTCCTGCTCCACCCCAGCCCTGCCAGCCCTGAGATATCTGCCAAGAGGTATTTCTCCTTCTAGGCTGAGTTCTGGGGGGTGGCAAGGTGGATAGCACTGGTGGGGAAGCAATGCGTCTGGACTCTTATCCCCAGTGAAGCCTTGCAGAGCACCCTGGGGAGAGTGAGTGACCTCTCAAGGCATTTCAGCTTTTTCAGTGGGACAGGGAGGTAGGTTTCAGGGTGTTAATGAGAGGCAGAGGGCACCCACCCCTCCATGGCAGGGAGAGGCTCCAAGCCACGTAGTCCCTCTGGCTTGCTTTGTAGTATCACGGTGTGACAAGTGTGTCAGTCAGCTTTGACTAACTTCCATGGTGTTGACAGTGTCCTCTACTCCCTCACCCCACCCCAGATCTCAGTGTTTACAACAACAGAGGCTGACTTCGCACTCACATTGGCTGCAGCTCTCTCTCCAAGTCACCTTCATTCCTGGACCCAGGTAGGAGCAGCCCCTATCTGGGCCATGCGGGGCTTGTGGCACCAAGCAGTGGTGCTCAAAGCTTTTGCTGAGATATGCATCTGAGGTTGCATTGTCCAAATCAAGTCACAGGACCAAATCTGCGTCAATGGGGCAGGGATGTATAATTCTATCACAGGGGATAGGGGAATGAATAATTGGAAATAGTAATGCAATCTTCTGCCATGGACCCCTGACTTAGGCTGAAAGGATTTCGTCACAGGAAGAGAGAACATAATTTAGCGAAAGAAGACTGTGTGGAGTAGTGGAAAGAGCAAGGCTTGGACCTGGAGGCCTGGATTTCAACCAGGACTCGGCTAGCTGTGTAATGTTGGCCAAGTTATTTAACTTCTCCAAATTTTCATTTCCATCTACAGAATGGGAATAATACCTAATTCAAAGGGCGATTTTGAGAATCAATTACATAGTAGATGTTAAGTCTTTGGCACATAGGAGGAACACAGTAAATATGACCACTCTACTCCACCCACTCCCCAGCTTTAACATTTTATCCAGGCCGGGCGTGGTGGCTCACTCCTATACACCCAGCACTTTGGGAAGCCAAGACAGGAAGATCACTTGCACCCAGGAGTTCAAGTCCAGCCTGGGCAACACAGGGAGACCTCCGTCTCTACAAAAACATTAAATAATTAGCTAGGCATGGTGGTGCATGCCTGTAGTCCCAGCTACCCGAGAATTTGAAGTGGGAAGATTGCCTAAGCCTGGGAGGTTGAGGCTGCAGTGAGCCGTGATTGCGGCACTGCACTCCAGCCTGGGCAACAGAGTGAAACCCCGTCTCAAAAAACAAAACAAAATAAACAAACAAAAACATCCAAAAAACAACAAAATAAAAATGTGGCTCATGCCTGTAATCCCAACACTTTGGAAGGCCAAGTCAGGAGGCTCACTTGAGCCCACGAGTTCAAGATCAGCCTGAGCAACATAGACCATCTCTACAAAAAAAAAATTTTTAATTAACTAAGTGTGGTGGTGCATGCCTATAGTCTTAGCTACTCAGGAGGCTGAGGTGGGAGGATTGCTTATGCCTGGGAGGTGGAGGCTGCAGTGAGCTATGATGGCACCATTGCACTCCAGCCTAGGCAACAGAGTAAGAACCTGTCTCAAAAATAAAAACATTTTGTCTATAGCTCTTGAGGTGTTGATTACCAGTGCTCACTCCTTCTACCAACCTCACAACGTGGGATCAAATGGAAATGAAAAAACCTATTTTGTGTTTACTGTGTCCCAGGCACCGCACTACACAATTTACTGTCATAATCTCATTTATTTTCCCCAAACAACTCTTTGTATGTTATTACCCCATATTAGAGATGAGGAACTTGAGGATCAGAGGGGATAAGTAACTTGCCATCAGTAACATGGGTGGGATAGGAAGAATTTGAACCCATGCTATAGATTCCAGAACCCATGCTCAAGGGCAGTGCTGTTCAAGAGTGATCTGGTACTGCTCTATGACGAAAGAACAGGAACTGAGAGTAAATGCTTGGAAACTTTTATAGCAGCTGGGCATTACCACAACATTCAGGCACATGGTCCATGGCCTTGATTCACTGAACAGAATATAGACCAGTGTGGGTGACGTGGACGTCTCCAAGAAGTCACTTGTGGCAGAGGTTGTTTTCTGGTCATGCACAGCAGGACCACCCAGTGGTCAGAGCTCAGAAGTCCAGTCTTCACCACAAATAGTGTGAGAAGCCTCACCTTTACAGTGGAGCATCTGCCCCGTGAACTGCAGTGTCTCTAGAATTAGTACAAAAGATGCTGTTAATCAATGATGCTGCTGTTCATCGAAAAGATACCTTGTTTACACTGACATATGAGGCCCCAGGGCAGGTCTGTGGGTCACCCATGGCACTGTCTATGCTTTGTACACAGGACATACTCAGTATATGTCTCCTGCTTCAGTAAATGAATGAATGAATTGACAGATGAATGAATATACATTTCAGATGTAGCAGGGCAACTTGCTGGACGGCCTTGGGCATGGCCATGAATTAGTAAAATTTCTCTTTAGTCTTTTCCTGCCTGTACTTCTAGCTTCTTTCTCCTCTGGCTTTTTGCCTCTGCCCAAGCTTTTCAGTGCCTTCAGGGTGCTCTCCTGGCTGCCCGGGACCCCACATGCCCCCCTTTTCCTACAAGTGATGCCCTACTCTGGGACTTCACTGCCTAGTTCCCTAGCAGTTTTCCAGCAACTTCTGAGTTCTGAATCTCTTCTGGGGGTGTCCCTCTAGCTGGCTGTCCCCCAGGTAGCAGGGCTCAGCCTTGACTGAGATAACGCACAATGTATGCAAGTGGGCGTTGTCCCTGCTGGTTCTGAGAAAATCAGCGAAGATTTCAACTCAAAGCATGATGTGGGCTGATAAAAAATAAATAAGCAAATCCATTTTAAAAATCAGCAAAGCTTCTTTTTTAATTATTTTAAGTTTCAGGATACATGTGCAGGATGTGCAGGTTTGTTACACAGGTAAATGTGTGCCATGGTGGTTTGCTGCACCTATCAACCCATCACTTCGGTATTAAGCCCAGCGTGCACTAGCTATTTTTCCTGATGCTCTCCCTCCCGCCATATCCCCTGACAGGCCCCAGTGTGTGCTGTTCCCCTCCCTGTGTCCATGTGATCTCAATGTTCAGTTCCCACTTATAAGTGAGACCATGCGATATTTGGTTTTCTGTTCCTGTGTTAGTTTGCTGAGGATAATGGCTTCCAGCTTCATCCAAGTCCCTGCAAAGGACATGATCTCCTTCCTGTTTTTGGCTGCATAGTATTCCATGGTATACATGTACCACATTTTCTTTATCTAGTCTATCATTGATGGGCATTTGGGTTGATTTCATGTCTTTGCTATTGTGAATAGTGCTGCAATGAACATACACATACATGTATCACTATAATAGAATGATTTATATTCCTTAAAATGCTATACTGAATGCTGGTGTAGACACTGACACTGGCATTGTCATGCACTGCTGGTGAGGAGAGCATGTGGTACATTTCTAGAAAGCAGTTTTGTGATATGTTTCAAGAATTTAAAAAATTTACACCCTTTAACCTAAAATTATACCTTAGATGTTTATCTGAAATAATCAGAGATCTGGCAAAATGTGTATGTACAGAGATATTCATCATAACATTATTTACACAGTGAAAAAGGAAATTCAACTTACATGGGAATGATTAAATTCAGTCACCATGAAATTTTATGCAGTTATTTAAATTATGTTTTTGAATTACTTTTAATGACCTGGTAAGATGCTTATTAGTTATTATAAGTGAAAAAAAGGCAGGGTTCAAAAATTTTGAATAAAATTTAATTAAAAAGCACGTGCATATAAACATACTGATCATCTGTCTGAGTGATAGATTCTGGGTGGTTTTATCCCTTTTGGTATTTTCTAAATGTTCTATCCTGTACACAAATGTATCTTTATGTTCAGCAAAACATGTAGAAGCATTTTTTGAAGTCTTTTCCAGTTCTGCAGACAGAGCGCTTCCAGGCCTGCAGCCATCCCTCTCACTGCACGATGCTTTGATGCAGGTCGCTGCTGGGGGCAGTGACCTGTATTTGCCAGGTGCCAGCCTTGAGCTCCGTTAGCCTGTATTCTGGCCCTGGTTTTACCACTAACTGGCTGCAAGACCTTGAATGAGTAATTTTATTTCCCTGGGTTTTGAGGGTCCTCATTTATAAAATGAAGCATCTGGATTTGATGATCTTTAGGGATTAGATTCTGATTCTGTGATTCTGATAAACTCACAAAGGACAGGCATTTATTGTGAATAAGTTTCGACGATGTGTCCTTTTCCACTCTATGTATCTTAAACAGGGGATTCTTATTTGAAGCTAAAGGAATGAATCTCTAATGATAGAATCTCATATCAGGTTGTGAGTCACCTATACCCAAACACAGACTTAATAGTTTTCTACAACTCAGCACCCTAGGCGTTATCTGTCCCTTCCTCTTCGGGACAAAAAGGGGAGGAGCTGAGAGGGCCAGGGACCCTTCCACATCAGCCTCCAGGCCTAAGAGGGAGAGGAGGGGTGTCTCTCTGAAAGCTTCTTTCTCGTCCCTGTCCCCTCCCCCGGCTGTTTACTGCTGTCTGCTTCCTTCTGTCTCCATCCTCTTCCCTATGGGTGAGTTGGGCTTATGTCATCATGGTTCCCTGGTGGGCTGGTGGCTCAGCCACCACAGCCTGGGGAAGGAAGGGGTATGACTCATACCCCAAATCCAGTGAGTCAGATAGGGTGGGCTGGACCAGGGGTTTCCTAAGACAGGAAGCAGGTTCTAGGTGTGCCTTAACTTCTTCCTGGCAGGGGCCCTGCCAGGAGAGGGTATCCATCTTTCTCCCATTCCCATTTCTGTGAATTCATTCAAGAACCCCTCCTGCCAAAGAAAATGCCACCTCTTCTAAGCCTCAGAAGATGGTGTCTGGGTGGGGCCAAGACAGCCTCTTTGAGGAAGGAGATGGACAGACCACAGTTAGAGTCGAAGAGGATGAGAACTTTCCAGCTCAACCTGTCAAGTCCTGGCTTTCAGCCCAGCTAGGTTTCAGAGCTGGGACAATTCCTAAGGGGCAAGACTTGCAATGCCCTGGAGCTGTGTAACCTTGGGCAAGTTACTTAACTGCTTGGAGCTTCAGTTTCCTTGACTGGAAAATGATATAATAAACACCTCATGGGGTTGTGCATTAGATAAAACCTAGCACCTACTATTACAGGCCTGGCTTCAGAAAGTGACAAGCCGATGCTCATTCTGAATCAGAATGGAAGCCCCACTGCTTTGGGGCTTCCTGGGAAGTCTGAAGGCCAGTTAGTGCAGAAGGCTAGAGTGGGCTGTTGGGCTGGCACGCAGTGGCCCAGACCCTGCGAGCTTTCCTTGGGGCTTGCAGGTGGGAGTGGGGTTGGGGGTAAGTACTATGTCTACTACAGACACGTAGAAGCAGCATTGTGTCCAGAGCTCCAGGGCAGGGACTGGCCTGGGAGCTGGCTTCAGTCTGGTTCTGAAAGGCACCCCCCACCTTCCACAAGCTGGTTCACCTTCTTCCTCTCTACGCCTTCTCTTCCCTTACAGGCATCTGAGGGCCTTTCCCACGCCTGGCAGAGTCCTGACAGGGCCCTTCAAACTGGAGCACGAATAATGTGGGCCGGCCCCATGACTCATGCCCACAATCCCAGCACTTTGGGAGGCTGAGGCAGAAGGACTGCTTGAGCCCAGGAGTTCGAGACCAGCCTGGGCTAAAATACAGTGAGACCCTGTCTCTATAATTATCAATAAATATAAAAAAAAAAGTGTGACTGTGTTCCAAGGATTGCTAGACAGAATCAGTACTACTGTACTGATGTTTCCTTTTGTTCTAGGCACCAATATGACCTGACAGAACATTGTTGTTGATCCTATCTATTTAAAATGTTAGCATTTTATTCATCGTGGATTTTCTGACATTAATTTTGATTTTTAAAAAATGCATTAAAATATTATTTTTTCTAGGTCTTACATGGTGGCTCTTGCCTGTAATCCCAGCACTTTGGGAAGCCCAGGCAGGAGGATTGCTTGAGGCCAGGAGTTAAGACCAGCCTGGGCAACATAGCAACACCCCATCTCTACAAAAAATAAAAATAAACCAGCCAGGCCTGGTGGTGCACTCTTGTAGTCCTAGCTACTTGGGGAGCTGAGGCGGGAGGATCTTAAGCCCAGAGTTTAAGGCTGCAGTGAGCTATGATCACACCACTGCACTCCAGCCTGGGTGACAGAGAAAGACCCTGTCTCTAAAAACAAACAAAAAAACAAAAAACCTATCATCTCTCTGTATATATAATTTATCTAGATTACTGGACTCCTTGGCGGCCCCTTAAATTTTGTCCTTAATGATGGAATTTTTGGCTTCATCTTTTTTGAGGGAGCGGGGTATATCTTGGGGACAGGGGGCCCTGTAGACTGTGCCTGCCTCCTTAAAACTGTGACCTTCCTGTTACTGAGAGGTCTTCTCTGCCCCCATCAGAGGCCAGGATAAAGTTCCCAAACCAGTTTCGGCTCACCCACTGTCCCATCTCCTACTTCCAATGAGCACAGGAATGGCTCCAAATCCTGGGGTCCTTTCGGTTATGTTCAATTCGGTAAGCGTTCCTTGAGGGCAATGTGCTAAGTGCCCGGGAAGCACCTGGCGAAGGACGCTGAGCAGAGAGACTGGAACAGTGAGGGGCACGGGGCGCACCTGGATAGGGCGGGGCTGGCCGCTCTGTACCTGGAGGACCAACCACTGACCCTGGAGCACGTTTGGGTGGAAACGTCACGTCAGAAATCCCGACCTGGTCTGACTTCCTGCCCCGGGGCCTCAGGCTCTGGACACGGGCCAGGGAGGCGTCGCCCAACCGCGTCGGAGCTGCTTCCTGGGCGCCGTGGGCGCTGACTGCGCGGGCCGCGCGAGTGCTGAGGAGCGCGAAGCGCGGGGACGGCGCACCTGGGGTGGCCCTGGCGTGCGGGCGGCGACATGGAGGATGGCGTGCTCAAGGAGGGCTTCCTGGTCAAGAGGGTGAGTGCGCGTACGAGCCTCGGGACATTGGCCGGGTGGGGCCCCGCCGACGCGGCTCCCTAGAGAGGGGCCAGACGCGCGCCCCCGAACGGGCATATTCTGGTCCGCATCCCCAACCCCCTTGGTGGGACCGGGCTGCCTGTGGCCCTGATGGGCAGAGCTGCATGTCCGAGGGGACGCGGGATGAGCAGCAGCTGCGCGCACAGGTCAGGAGGAGAATTCCACTTGGTTAGCGCAATATGGAGCCGGGGCAGGGGTACCGAAGCGTGTGTCTTAATTAAAACTTGTTGGCCGGGCGCGGTGGCTCAAGCCTGTAATCCCAGCACTTTGGGAGGCCGAGACGGGCGGATCACGAGGTCAGGAGATCGAGACCATCCTGGCTAACACAGTGAAACCCCGTCTCTACTAAAAATACAAAAACTTAGCCGGGCAAGGTGGCGGGCGCCTGTAGTCCCAGCTACTCGGGAGGCTGAGGCAGGAGAATGGCGTAAGCCCGGGAGGCGGAGCTTGCAGTGAGCTGAGATCCGGCCACTGCACTCCAGCCTGGGTGACAGAGCAAGACTCCGTCTCAAAAAAAAAAAAAAAAAAAAAAAACTTGTTAAAATATTATGAATGGTATGATATTTAAATAAAATTTACTAAGATAACATAGGCGTGCTCTATAATTTACAACCTGTTAAGAAGGAGTAATGCTACTATGTGTTTTAAGCACTTACTGTTGGCCAGCCCTGGACATTGTCTCCTGTCATCCTCTCAGCAGCCCTATGGGGTCAGTGGTACCTAACTGCCCCCCTTTCATCAAGGGGAAAAACGAAGGCCAGAGGAGTTAGGGAACTTGCTCAGGGTGGTGGAGGCAGTGGGTGGTGGAGCCAGGATCGGGATCAGACCCACTCAGGTTGACCCAAACCTTTTCCTGCCTCCCGAGTGCCATACACGGTGGGTATTGACATCACTCTATTGCAGATGGGGAAACAGAGTCAGAAAGATGAAGTAGCTTGCCCAGAGCTCCAGAGCCAGTAATAGCTGGGACTGGAACTGCATGTTCTGACCTTCCCTCCTCAGTCCTTCCCCACCACCCCCAGGGCAAGCACGAGTGCAAACAGAAAACTCGGTGCCTGGGATTAAGGTAGAAGATGAACAAAAGAGCAGTTGCAAAAGGAAGTTTATTTCAAAATTTTTTCCTAATTTGACCTTTTTTTTTTTTTTTTTTTGAGACGGGGTCACCCAGGCTGGAGTGCAGTGGCACAATCCTGGCTCGCCACAGCCTCGACTTCCCAGGCTCAGGTGATCCTCTCACCTCAGCTTCCCGAGTAGCTGGGACTACAGGTGTCCACTACTATGCCCAGCTAATTTTTGTATTTTTTTGTAGAGACAGGGTTTCGCCGTGTTTCCCAGGCAGGTCTTGAACTCCCGGGTTTAAGTGATCTACCCACCTTAGTCTCCCAAAGTGCTGGGATAACAGCATGAGCCATCACACGGAGCATAATTTGAACAATGACGTTAACACTAACCATGTATACTGCCGTGATGGCATAGCAAAGAGACATATAAATCCAGGGCTGAGCTTTCTGGTTCTTCTACTGAGTTTTCAGCTTTGGGAGGGGAATGAAGAGGGATGAGGGGCCCTTCCTTTCATTGCCTCCTGGTGTGGCTGGATCAGTCCTAAAGTCTCGGATCGCTTTCATTTTCCCCACAAAATGTGTCCACATGATGTTGCACGTTATTCGATACAGGAGAGCTGTGGCTGTTTGCTGGAAACAGTAAGCAAGGAGGGTAGAAGCTGATGCTAGATCAAGGGTCAGACTGGATAGCACAGTACAAAGCGCCACGCCCACTTGCCACTGTGGCTGAACTGATAGGCCGGTTTCTCGCAGCATGTGGAGGTGGCTGCACCTCAGAGAGACTACACTTGGGGAGCTTCCATCGTCCTGATCTCCTATTTAACTGCAGCTTGGGAGGTGGGAGGGAGAGTGAGAGCTGGGCATGGGACTTTTGGTTGGCACCATTGATGGCTGGGCCCTGGTAAGGCCTGTGGAGGGAGTTAACATGGAGACAGATCCTCCTGACAGAGCTTTGGGAGTTTTGGGGGCCTCCTCCTGTTCCTGGGGTTTACCTTCCATCATTCCCTACCACCTTCACCACGCCGAGAGCCAGAGGAGGGCTAAGGGCAGAGCCACAGAGCTCCCAGGATATCGCCAGGAGAAGGATGGTTCTCTTCTGAGTGGCCTGGTTAGGGAATCCAGGGTGCAGAAAATGAGGAGAGTCAACAGGTCTGGTCCCCATAAGCCGTTGGAAAAGATGGGGCTTGGCTGAAATACTTAGAGCTCATTCCAGCCAAACCCAAGGACTGGGATGGAACCTGACCCTGAGGCAAGCAGAAGCCACACCCCTCCCTGCAGGGTGAAGGATGTGGCCCCAGAACCCCTGTTGTGGTCCCAGCTTGCTGAGCAATCCCAACTTTTTCAACCCCCCATATCCCCTTTCCTCTTAGATGGCAATAGCAGTCCCTATGTCCACTGGAGAAGTTGCAGGCTGTGGCAGGGGAATTCCATAGTCTTAGGAGTGTTAAGAGCTCAGAGGTGGGGCAGGGCCTGAGCTGGAAGCCAGAGTGCAAAGCAGTCATCACCGGTGAAGGTGAAGCCAGAGACAGGCAGGGACACGATAGAGTTGGCTCTTAATCCCGCCCAGACAAGAAAGAAGCAGAGTTCCAGGCAAAATGCAGGGAGCTCATTGGGCCTGGCTCTCAGGGGAGTCAGGGGAAGGAAGTGGGGGATGAGCCTTGAGCAGCAGTGCTTTTCCTGGGAGAAGAGGCAGAAGCACTGCCAAGCGTTCCTGCCGGGCTCATATTGTGAATAGCATTGCAATGTGAACATGCTCTGGCCTAGAAATTTTATGTGTAGGGCTCTATCCTTTGTTGTAAAGCTCTGTAAAAGCTTTGTAACAAAGAGTTATTTTTATTTTGTATTTTTGTAGAGATGAGGTCTCATTCTATTCCCCAGGTTGGTCTCAAACTCCTGGCTCAAGTGATCCTCTGGCCTCGGCCTCCCAGAGTGCTGAGATTAGATGTGTGAGTCACCACACCCTGCTGTTATTTATTTATTTTGTTTAGACAGGATCTCACTTTGTTTCCCAACCTGGAGTACAGTGGCATCAGCAGGGCTCACTGCAGCCTCGACCTCCCAGGCTCAAGTAATCCTCCCGCCTCAGCCTCCCGAGTAGCTGGGACTACAAGTACACACCACTGGGCCCAGCTGGCATCTCTGCTTTTCTCAGGGTTATAGAGCCTTGGGCAAGACCTTTCTGGGCCTCTGTTTCCTTATCTTTAAAGTTAGGGGTCTGCTGGGTGTGGTGGCTCACACCTATAATCCCAACACTGTGGGAGGCCAAAGTGGGAGGATTGCTTGAGGCCAGGAGTTCGAGAACAGCCTAGGCAACAAAATGAGAACTCATTTCTACAAAAAATAAAATAATTAGCCAGGCATGGTGGTGCTCGCTTGTAGTCCCAGCTGCTTGGGAGGCTGAAGTGGGAGGATCACTTGAGCCCAGGGGTTTGAGGCTGCAGTGAGCTATGATCATTCCACTGCACTCTGGCCTGGGCAACCAAATGAGACCCTGCCTCAAAAATATTTTTTTTTTTTAAATTTTAAAAAATAAGGTTGGGGCCGGGTGTGGTGGCTTATGCCTGTAGTCCCAGCATTTTAGGAGGCCGAGGCAGGCAGATCACGAGGTTAGGAGTTCGAGACCAGCCTAAGCCAAAATAGTGAAACCCCATCTCTACTAAAAATACAAAAAATTAGCCAGGTGTGGTGGCAGGTGCCTCAAATCCCAACTACTCGGGAGGCTGAGGCAGGAGAATTGCTTGAATCTGGGAGGCAGAGGTTGCAGTGAGCTGAGATCGTGCCACTGCACTCCAGCTCGGGCGACAGTGCAAGACTCCGTCTCAAAAATGTAATAGTAATAAGGTTAAGGAATAGAGGAGGCTTTTTCCTAGGGTCTCTCCAGCTGTGACATTTTGTGTCTCGTAAGCCCTTCCCTGAGGTGCCATTCCAGCTTATGGGCCCCTCGTCCTTCCCTCCAAAAGGGATCTAGGGAACTCCAAGCACCCCCTGCTTCAGCTGGCCTCTGGCTCCAGCCAGCTGATTACAGACAAGAAACCCAAGAGAGAGGCTACTCTCTGCCCAGGGACAAGTGTCCAGGTGGAGAGAGGCCTAGGTTCTTCTTCAGCGTACCATTGTGTTATTGGCCTGTGACTCACTTTGCCTGGTGGTTTTGGACCACTCTGTGCATGGTGTGGTTTATCTGCAGAGCAGAACTGGTGCTGCTTTCCTGCCAGGTTCATGGACTATTCCAGCAACCTCCAGCTGAGCACCCCACTCCAGTTGCGCCTGCTTCCTTTGGCTATTTTGTTCTGCTGCTGTGTTTGGAGTGATCTGTTTAATATGAGAACGTAAGCTTGCTGTCTTTCTGCTTAAAATCCTTCAAGGACTCCCCTTGAAGATCAAACTTTGTGGCACAGAACCTGAAGCCCTTGCTGACTTGGTCCTCATCACCTCCCCTATGGAGTCCAAGCCATATAGAACTACGGGGAGTTTCCTCAAAGTGGCAGGGGTCCTATGCTCACCCTTCCTTGCCTTCCTGACCTGCCTAACTCCACACAACCAGAAAGACTGAGCCCCAGTATCACTCCTGGGAATGTGC